TCTGTCTTTCTTCCATCCAATTTGTTAATTTATCCCCCACACCTATAGGGATAATTTTTTTTTACAAGTCTTTTATGTGGCACCTTGTCAAATACTTTCTGAAAATCCAGATACACCAAATCTATATCCTTACCCTCATCTACATAAGCAGTAACCTTTTCAAAAAATGTCAAAAAAAATTTGTAAGACAAAATTTTTCCTTAGTGAAACCATGTTGACTATCCAATAAAATTATAAACTTTGTTAGATGACTTTGCAAAATATCTGTTATCAAACTTTACAAGACTTTTCCCACAACTGATGTAAAATCAATAGGCCTATAATTACAGGGCCACATTTTATTACCTCCTTGAATAGAGGACTAATATCAGCCAATTTACAAAAAATAGTACCAAGTGGTTCACATATCCAATCCTTAACCCCCTTCAAAACCCTTGGGGGAATATTATCTGGTCCAGGAGCCTTATAATTCTTTACACTTACCAATATTTTCTTAATAAGCTCAGAATTAATGTGATCATCCTGTTCAATCTTTTTTTTTCCATCTATCAACTGTTCAAAATGAGGAATACTGCTTAAATCTTCATTAGTGAAAATTGAAGAAAAAGCAGAATTGAATGACCCAGTCATCTCATAATCATCAGATACAAACCTTCCTTTATCATCCCTCAAAGGTTCTACCCCATCCTAACATTTTGTTTACCCTTAATGTATTTTAAAAAATCCTTACTGTTAATTTTTTACATTTTTAGCCAACTTTTTTTCTCATTCATCCTTTTTGATGTCCTAATTTCCTGTTTGACCAAATTTCTTGATTTTCTATAATCTTCTACACCTCCTGTCAAACCAGTCAGTTTAAATTTCTTAAATTGTGATGCTTTTCTATCATTTTATCCCTTATACCCTTTGTGGGCCAACCTGGTTTTTTACTTGCAGCCATCCTTTGCTTTCAATAAGGAATATGTTTATCTTGAATACTTAAAACAAGATAAAAAAAATAAAAACTTCAAATTAATGAGTATAAAACAAAAATTAATCATAATAACAAGCTAAGGAAATATAAATAAATGGAAATCACTTCTTTTTTATCCCAGTGATTTTATAAATTTAGCATTATTATTTCTGATTAATCTTAATTTTCTTTAATTAAATGAACACTGTCAGTCTGTACAATGACTTTTCTGAGCAAATAGTTCTTCACACATATATATATATATACACACAAATTAATTTTCTTTTTCCTTTAACTATGATTATTTTTCTGAATTTTTGTACAATAGTTTTTTTGAAAAAAAGAACTTGTTTTGAATTATGAAATAAAAAATTTATTTTTTATTTTTGGAAAAAACAATAACATACATGTTATAACTCTTTGATCATATTAAGTATGCAAAAGTTTGAAAATCAGTAGTCATTGTACGAACAGAAGTTCATAATCACACAACTTTCATATCTATTTGTTTGTATAACATCCATAGTAAACTGCTTCCAAGTTTGTTCTTTAGATACAAAAATTGACCAAAAAATTCACTTGTCATATAAAAATTGCTATAATTTCATCAAAACTAGCAACATGTTGAAAAAACAAAACCAATTTCTGCAAAAGTGACTATATATGAAGAAAACCTTTCTTCTTTTAATGTTATTTAAATAAGCAATGTGTATTTTCACTAATTTTATTTGTAGTAAAATTTTTAGAATATATATATATATATGTCAGAGTTGAATAAACCTGTGAGTTACAACTTACTTTCACATGCTGCACCTTAAATTTATCATATCATTAATGAATGTTGTTAACCTAGTTACAAAAATGTGAAGATATACAATAATTTGAACATTATAATATTCATTATTTGACAAATTGGCAAATGAACACTTTTTTTTCTAAATATAAATTTTATCATTTATTACATACTTTAGTACAAAACTTATACAGATACAAACCACTGTGTAAACAGTATGAGTTCCATCTGTCACACTGATATTTAAGTCATACTGGCTGCACATCTCACCATCTACCATCCCTGCTAAAAGAACAGCACCACCATCATTCTTCATCATAAATGTTTCATTAGTATTACCACCTATTGAAAAAAGTAGTATAAAACCTATGGTAAATTCACATTCACTGCAAGCAACACAGGTATAATTCATATTTCAACTCATAACTTAGGAAGATTCATGTAAAAAAATTTAAACATAAGAGTAGATCAAATATGAAGGATTCAATTATGCTTGTAAGTAAATTAGCCAAAGTAAGCTTCTTTCATATAAATTAGTCTTCCAAAATCTTTACAAGCTTTTTATCTCTCTAAAATGCACGAAAACATTATTCATTTATACTGTTTTAATAAATATCCGACAATTTTATAACACAAATACAGTGTTTCGGTCTCAAATATAATTAAGATTTATCATTTTAGAAATATTAGCATGAGTAGTTCAAATTAAGTAATTCAGTAAGTACAACTACAAAAAAAAAAGAAGTCAAAAACTGAGAATTAACACCAATTGCATATATTCTACTGATAGGTAAAAACATTTTAATGCTTTACAATGTGAAAACTGTACAAATCCTCTTTAGCTATCCATACTTTAAAATTAAACTCACCAACAATTGAAAACCATAACCTATCTCCATCCTTATCTTCTGTTTCAATTAATGTAACCATTTCTTGTACTCGGTCACTAGCAGTAACCACATTGTACGACTCTGAATTCTTGATGACAGGAGGATGTAGAGAAATTTTAGGTCCTTCAACAACTTCAATAAGAACTCGTACTGCCACAAAGTGTCTTGGCTCACCATTATCAATGGCTTGTACCTAAAAAATGTTACACTGATAAATATATAAATATAAAGAGTACAAAAGTTGAGTACACTACATTAAAATTATTTCGGAACCTCATTACATGGTTACAGTCTATGTTGCCATGTCTGGTCGTGTTCTTGCCAACAAATGTACATCTTGATAATAGCCCTGTAGGTAATTATGATTGCAAAATGCTCTGTCATAAGGCTGTAATGTCCAAAGCACACCAATCCTTCCAGTTTGTTTTCCTTAACCCCTCTAGTGTATGATGACAGCAGTTTCCCAGCACCTGTTTCAACAGTCTGATCACACTTAAATCCATATGTGCTGTATCCCGTGGTTTGACCAATATGTCTTCACATGGAAAAGCATGAAAACCTATTTAATTTTCCAAATGCTTGAGGTATGCAGTGGTCAAATGTATATCTTGTGGAAGCATTTTGTATACACTGACCTTTGTATCCTTGGATTCCCATCTGTTACAAGACATTACATTTTGGATGGTCCTGGTGCCCTTAGTTGATCCATATCTCTTTGTTTTCCAATGTAATTAAGTACGAGAGATAACTCTGTCTTAGAAATTCTAAATCCCCAATCTGGACACATCTTTGTGATCTGAGTATAAGAATATTTTGTGTCAGAAAGAGCTGTTACATGCCCTTCCCAAAAGCAATCAATTTTCAATACATCACACTACCAACAAATGTCAAGTAATGTCAAAATGTAGTTCTAATACACACCATTCCACCATGACTTTATATCAACTGTGGTTGTCACATGACTTGCTGATTTGCATATTCAAAATCATTTTAACATAACATACTTAATATTCTATAAACTTAAACTTATAATGAAAAAAGATGATAATCATATATTATTCAGTAAATTAACAAAACCAATAACATAAATGTCGTTATTTCCAACCCATAATTTTTGGAGAGTATGGATGCAAACATGTAATGATATATGTATACCTTATTTATTTACCTCCTACTAAATCACTGCTAACATTGCTTTAGTTATTCCAGTAAACCTTTAAAAAAAAAGGTCCTACACATTTATATTGTAACATTGTCAGCTACGATGAGTTATTTCAGTGGTTCCAAAAATCTAGGGTCCACAGTATTGCCTCAGCACATGTAGGAATATTCTCTTTAAAACTACCCTGACACTGGATAAAGTAGTATTTTCAGCAAGAACTGTATTTAATGCAATAAAAATGACTATATAACACATTTTATACTTGAGATTAATTGTTTTCAAATAACTAATTGCAATAAAGGAAGTTATCTCAAAGTGGCTATTACTTAAACTATCCATTATATCATCAGGTGAGGTCCTTAACCAGGATGTCCAAGGTCTTGGAAAAGGGTCTCAAGCTAGTTTGAGAAACCTTAATCAGTTAGATAGTAAAAACGTTTTTTTAAATTTCATACAAATACCAGTATATTTTCAAGTAATGAAACCAATTAATATTAATCAATATTCACATATGTATGGTTTATAACTCTTTCAATTATACTATAATGGAAATTAGTTAAGCAGCACATAGAGGTAATTGCTAGTTTTAGATAATAAATTTCAATTAAGTACTTGATAAATTCGAACTTGAGTATATGCTATTTAAAGATTTTATAACGTCAAAAAATTTTAAACTATTCTTGATATACAGAACTGTGAGGAATCCAAATTACTTACTTCATATAAAATACTTACAAAATCAAATAATTCAGTGTACACTGGTGTTGTTTTTTATTTGTTTTTCATCTGTTTACTGTTTACAAATTGTTAAAATCTTTTATTTTTTTCCTGTAACCACAATTAAATATACCAGATGTATTTATGTTCTTCCAGTGAAGGTGTTGCAGTCTGATAGTTACTCAATATGTTCTTCAAATTAAGATAAAATCATATTTTAGATACTGTTACTTCTAGTAAATGCCATGCTTACAATGAGTTCATATTCTGTGCCAGGCTGAAGTTTCTTCTCTGATGTGATAATTCCAGTTTTTCGACTAATGTGAAAAGAGTCACTAGGGTTTGATCTTTGTATACTATACTCCACATCACCATTAGGTCCTTCATCATGATCAACTGCAATAACCTGTGCAAAGATCTTTCAATAAATAACAGATACCAGTATCCTCACAATTTATATGAAAATACACAACAAAACTTACCCACTCTTTTATGTAGTAATTGAATAATAACAAAATTAACAGATAAAAGAAACAAATTGGGTATTTGGTATTTTTAACCTAAATGACACCTTAAGCAACAAATGGGCTAAATATACAGGTCACAGACTCCTATCGTTCAGGCATAAACATTCCTAATTTCGAATTGCTGATCAGGGGAAAGTCAGACACTCAGTAATAACTGCTGCCAAAAGAATTTTGTTCAGCTGTGAACCAAATAATGAGATTGACTATTAATTTTATAAAGACACTCCCAGTTGAAAGTGTAGAGTAAATTCAGCATCATAATGGTGTAAGCCTAGAACCTTCTGATCCATAGCTAACCAGCTCATCTCCAGGATGCAGAGGGTCACAAGTAAGAAATAAAGATATTAAATAATAGAGGACACCTACTATCTTTAAATAAAAGTCAAAATCTCTGTTTGTTTGTCTGCCACTTTCACTGCGCAGGTCACACTTCCCTCACGTGAAGGTGCGCGAAACGACAATTTTTCGTTGAAAAACGCGTCTGTCGTCTGCTACCTGTCCGATAATTTTATCGTTAACATTATATTACACGAATAAATTCTACGCAGACTTGACATTTTTGGGTAAGTTTGAGTTAACATTTAATTTAGAACCTACTAATACATCATATATTTAATCTCAAAAGAACTGTATGCAGAATTAGAATGTAGTATGTGAAAAAGCAAACAGTAGGCCTAGCCTATAAAATAAGATTATGCCGTCTGCCATACAATAGCCTACGTGAAAAGAGTAAGGCTTAAATTATAATAATTTTTGTGTACAATGAGATTAAAGTAAAGTCAGCGTAACTGGTAAAGCGCTTGCATGGGGTGTAAGATGGATTAAATCTGGAAATTGTATTTGTTGTTGTCACTATTAGAATAGACAGGCCTATTTAGTTATTCATTATTAATTATACATCTGCTAATACATCATATATTTATAACCACAAAAGAAATGTATGCAGAATTAGAATATTGTGTGTGAAAAAGAAAAACGATAGGCCTAGCCTATAAGTATAAAATAGACTATGTAAAAAAGAGTAAGTCTTAATTATATTATAACACTTATTAAGTAAAATGAGATTAAAGTCAAGTCAGTGGATGTATTTTATTCTACTTTTTTTTCTCGGGGTGATTCTATACCTGGAAGTGGATTATTTTTTCTTTTGATACATTATAAAATACAATATTGCATTTTATTTGTAGTATATTTCATACATCAATATATTCATAATTTGAATACAGTATCACATTCATGAAAATATATTAAATTTACATTAAAGCTAATTCAATATAATATTACATACATATTTACCTGTGAAGTTTTAATATTTGAGAAGGGATGACGGGGTATGGAGGGAATAGAGCTAGGCTTATCCTGTTCGCCAGAACAGGTATTCATACGTGTGTAAGATAATTTAAATATTCTCCATAAGGGCCTAAATATCCTTGCCAGTGAAGAAAAAACGAAAAACATAATTCATAAGGAAGTCCGGATTTAAAACAGGTTAGTAGTTTATTTTAAAAAAACAGACCTAAGGTTGTTGGTTTTTTCACAAATTCACAAAATATATTTTACCTATCGAAATATTGAACAGGGAAACAGAGAGAATAGTTGTTGTTTTTTTCGAAAACCCGGGTAACACCGGTAATGCTGCTAGTCTATATATAAAATCATAATTAAATTTTTTATTACGAAAATAATCAAATATTATATGTACATAAGAAATTTTATTCTAATGAGCCACTTATATAAAAGAATAAATTATAAATCTTTTTGGTAAACCAACCAACACAGTAACAAGTGAAGCTATACAAAACAAGTATTCATATTATTCACAGGATTCCTATTACAGTAGCAACAGAACTTCAGAATTTGACTAATAAGAAGATAGTAAAAAAAACTTGATTATTTGTTATTAATTTCTAGTTTTGTAAAAAATTTTCTGACAGAAACATTTCACCAAGACCCTCAACATATGAAGATTAAGCTGATATTTTTCATTTGAATATATATTTGCAATTTACTGAAGAAAAAAACCTATAAACAGTAACATAATCATATTTATTAATTCAAATCTGCAATACAGAAGACATATGTAGTATGAAAGATGCAAGTATATACACTATTTTATAATTTGGTTTTACAAGACAAAAAAACAAACTGTCATATTTATCGTATCTTGGAAAAAACTATATGCTTGAGTTAAGTATCAAAGCTATGGCTATTTCATTTGACATTGTCGTTGCACTTAAGTATTTACTTTGAATCCTAACATATAACATGACTCCTGATCTTTTATAACATGTAACAAAATTTAAAAAGACCAAATAACTATATTTAACTTCCAAAACATATTAATTATGAGCCAGCAAGAACCAAATTTACAAATTTTACATTTCTTATATTGATTCTTACTGGTTATCTACAAAATGTACATGATTATGGAAGGACATTATGTTTCTTCAAAGATTTATGTGCACTTCCCTACCATATCTTTGGATTTTACTTCTTCAAGCACGAATTTTTTTAACCCAAATGCTATTGCAAACTTACCCGACAAAGAGACCTTTCAGCCATTTCACTGGATGCCAACACAGGACACCGATAAAGCGATTCTGTAAATTTTGGTTTGTGGTCATTGATGTCTTTTACGTTCACCATCACTCGAGTTGTAGATGACAATGAGGGTTTCCCTGAATCACTTACTCTGACCTTCAGGAATTAAATGAAATCTATAATTTTCTAAAGACTTTCATACGATGTTAATATACATTTTGTAACTAACTTATAATATATAGAAGTATATTATTATTAAAAGTATATAATAATTTTTTGCCAAGCTGCCAAAAGAAAAAACGTTTTAACAATTAAAAACAACAATAAAAGAGTAATTAAAGTAAAAGGTTGGGTGTAGTTCTAAATTTAACTCTGAATAGTCTTGTTAATAAAAAAATGAATGAAAAAATAAAGTAAAACTCCTAGACATAAAATTAATCACAAACGAACAAGTTCAAATAAACTTCACAGAATATAAAGAATATTTACTAATATTCAATGTATTATTTTTTGAACTAGTTTTATAAATGTTTAATTTTATGATCTGATTGCTTTTTTATGCTTTATTTACTCTCCTTTTCAAAATAACATTACCTCCACTTGCTACAAATCAAGAGTTCTTATACATTACCACAAGATAGAGAGTACTTATGAAATTATTATTTGTGCTGTGCCATGTGCTCACTTCTAATAAAATTCACAAAAAATTAAATATTAAGTTAATCTACTAAAATTTATATTGTTTTTATAAAAGCTAGAATATTAATTTATGCTGACAAATGTCTATTAATTTCTAAGTTAGCTCATTATAAATAAAACTTAAACTGTATTAACTTGTTAATTAATTTAGTTCCCATAAGGGCCGTTTTTAGTTCTAAAATCCAGAGAACAATAAAGCACTGAAAAAAAGAAACTGTAAGTGGCGCTTTTGGTAATCCCTGTATCGCCATATCTCCGAACACAACAAGTCAATTTGTGGAATGTGTTTGCCAATATAGGGTGCGTATTATGGGTATTGTATCGACTTCCGCTAAAAAAATCAGTAACGAACTCGACTTTAACAACGAGCACATGCACGTGTCATCATAATATTTGAAGCACAGTATATGCAATGGGACAAATGTCATATCATATATATGTGAAAACTAATGCGGTGCGTAGATGTGCGCATAGCTTAATGCCAATAAATATGTCACTATGAACGCCGAAAACTCATCAAATATGATATTGAATATTCATATATACCAAGACATCATGCATACTTTGACATTCGTAATACTGGGTCATTTAATATTCATAGTATTTGTTTTTCAAGAATGACCAGCAGACGTTTCTAAATATGGAAAATGCGGCATCGGATCACCGTGACGACTAAAGTTCTAGGAACAATATAACATGAACATTGTGAATTTGAACATTTTACGCCTCAGAGTACTCTTTCTCATCACATCTGTGCTTTATGCTCGCTATAGTTTTGCTTTCTGCAGGTTAAAGGAATAACATTGTAATTTAATTTACGTGTTTCTTTCTCAGTTCCTTCCTTAATAACACTCTAATAAAGCAGACCTCAAGCAACATTTCACTGGGCCCAGAACAAACTCATAATACGAGTCCTCGTCCCGCGCCATACAGACATACTAATTAATGAAAGACAAATTAAAACTCCTGACAATAAACTAGTTGAAAACATTTTGGTGACTGGAAATATTTTAGGAATTTGAGTGCTTTTATTATAAAGGTTACTGGTTACAAATGTATTGGTGTACGTTTTAGCAGATAGTGTAAACCTGAAAAACTAATTTTGTACTCAAACGGAGAGAGGAAAAAGTGCTTATAGATAACAAATTATGTTTGTTTGTTTGTAATTAAGCACAAAGCTACACAATGCCCACCACGGGTATCGAAACCCGGATTCTAGCGTTGTAAGTCCGCAGACATACCGCTGTGCCACTGGAGGGCAACAAATTATGAATCCATATACTTAAATACATAATAACAATTTACCCTTCAAGATAGATTTATAAAATCACAACAAAACTGAAATAACAACCAACACTCCACTTGTTTACAAGATGGAAGCCAAAATGACTGCAATATTCAATGTTAACAACTTGAAACGTCAAACATTTAAAACGTATACATAAGAGGTTTTGGGGCAGAAATTGGTATAATATTTAGCCATATAAATAAAATTCAATAAAATGTCAACAATCTAGTCTGATTTTTTTTTCCCTCATGTAATGGACTTGTTGCCCTCTGGGCACCTTGGGCCGATGGGCCCCAGTAAAGTGTACCTAATTACCCCTTTAGTTGGGACCTGTGATAAGGCAAACGAAGGCCATCGTGTGTTCCTATGATCGAAACTTCACAGTAGAGCCAGAAATATCCCATCCTATACGAGTCAGTTAGTTGGAAAAAAATATTGCTGATAATTTCTAATCAAGATACCGAATTATGTTTTCATATATTTTTCTACATTTGGATTAATAACTGCATAAAACATTTTACGTGTTTTTTGGTAACTTATCCTACATGGCTTTAACCTTGTTAAATGAATAAAGAAAATAAATTTAACAAATTTTGAATGCCAGAAAAAGAGCTAAAATTAGTAATTTTCTCAATATATTAGAATATTTTATTAATCCATTCTAAACACCTCGGTATAACTCAAGCCTGGTTAACCAAAATACAGCTATTTCTTTGGATTTTTTGAAACTAAGTCCGAGTTTTACGGCCTGAATATTTATGTCATGACAATAATATTAATACTGACTCATATAAACAAATAAGTAGGGCAACAATAACCCTATGAAAGTTTAAATAGGCCGTTCTTATTATTTAGCCATCAATCATTTCGGGTTATAACAATGATTCGATATTTTATGTATTAAAAAATGGCCAAATCATAAAACCAAAGCGTTATTAACCACCAAAAGGAAGAGTGCATTTATTTTGTTTTGTATATGTATATCACTTGTTTTTCCTACTTGAGTTGTTTTCTAACAAAATCTAAAGTAAAAAAAAGACGGCTTTTTCATTTTTATCGTCACGCTTTGTAACACAAGTTGGGAAAACGGGTGAACGAGTAGTTTATCTCAAATCAGCGGGTTACGGTTGGTTTAACAAAGAGCAATTCGAAGCAGTAACCCACAATTCAGCTATAATCACCGTATTTCATTCTATAAAAATTATGTTAAAATACGTATTCACATGTATATACATAAAATTAGTTCACTATTTGTAGACATGCCCACCCGGAATAAACTCCTTGCCTCGCTTCTCGAGAGGGTGGTCGGTAACCACTAAGCCTAATCAAGTCAAAGCTTAACCACCTAACACGCAATTGTCTTTGGTAACTTTCATATCAAATGACTAAGCCACAACACAAATTAAGTGACTTCCTCAAGCAAACGGTTTGTTTGTTATGAATTTCACGCAAAGCTACACGAGGGCTATCTGCGATAGCTGTTCCTAATTTAGCAGTGAAAGACTAGAGGGAAGGCAGCTAGTCATCACCACCCACCGCCAACTCTTGGGCTGTTCTTTTACCCACGAATAGTAGGATTGACCGTCACAATATAACGCCCACACGGCTGCAAGGGCGAGCATGTTTGGTGAGACGGGGATTCGAACCATACCGGGCTCAAGGAAACGGAATAAAATCAATCCATACAAAAAAGTCACACATTTGATATTACAATACTGAATGATAAACAAATACGAATGTGAAATGATAAACATTCTTAGGCTTGGATCCACAAGATACATTGCTGTCATTTACTACCATTGAATTATGTGCAGCTTATAAGGCTAGAGGCAAGAAATTAATTTGAAAACGGAAACATTTTAAAGTGTTATTTCAAAAACACGATTGAAATCTGTCTATAAAATATAAGTTGGTACAGTGGCTTATATGTGGCCGTACTAATATAAAAGTTATTACAGTTAAGTTTCACAGAAATGAATAACTAGAACTTTGTCGCTTATTGAGAACAATTATATATTCCCTGTCTATAATGTTGTAAAACAGTGAATTAGTGAAACAGCTTTTAGTATATTCCATTTTAAAAAGGAGGTAATCAAAGTATTCCAAATTCACAATCGTTTCTTTCGTCACACGTATTGCGTTTGTGCAAATTTGCTGTTCATGAGGTTGATATCTAAATTGAGAGAGTGAGCATTATCAATATCTAATATAGTTGCTTCTATAATTTGAAGTTATAGAGAATAAATTTTATGTGTGGCTGAGGATATGGAATCATTGACAGTGGAAAACAAATCATCATTATGTCCATCAGATACATATGAATTTGTTCACACGAAGCCGATAAAATAAAAAAATATATTTAATTCAGATTGTTTATTTATTAAATTTCGCGCAAAGCTACTCGAGAGCTATTTGCGCTACACGTCTTTAATTTTGAAGTGATATGCTATAGGAAAAGCAACAAGCCAATAACACCAACCGCCAACTCATGGGCTACTTTTTTCAACGAATAGTGGGGTTGACTGTCACTATATAACGCCCTCGTGGCTGAAAGAGCGAGCATGTTTGGCAAAGAGATTCGAATGCGCTATATTTCAGAACAGACGATATAGAGATTTACCATGTACAAAGAGTTGTTCACCATCCAATCTAAGCATAAACGATAAGGTCTTGCAACCTCTTTTTCACCACTGATGATGCTTTATATCGGTGATTCCCAACCTGTGGTTCCCGGACTCCTGGGGGTCCGCGAAGATAATACCATTTCATTAAACAAGTAAGTTTTTTAATTTTGCTGTTCTATTAATTGCACACTCAGTTATATATGTATTTTATTTGATAGTGAAAAATGGAAAAACAAGTTAATTATTAGTAAGAAAAACAGTTTGTTGGGTAGATGGAATCTTT